AAATGAGTGAAAACTAAGAGCTAGCATTTTCTGAGGAGTGACAATGTTGAGAACCACTGGAATAACCTCACTAGTAAGCTTTCAAGTTTGGAGCACATCAGCAGGGGCAAGGTAACAGGGCATACTCAGGTCTACCCTTACCAGACATATTGCTGCTGCCACAGTCTAGGCCAGGGGTGGGCAAAATACAGCCCATGGCCCTGATCCAGCCTGCCAGGCAATTATATTCAGCCTGCAGGGCCCCTAAAAAATTTAGAAAATTAATATTTATCAGCTCCTGGCTGCCTGTCAAAGATGATGGCAGCCCGGGGCAGTAGGACCCAAGGGAAGCCAGCAGGAAGCAGCAACAAGGCCAGCCCGGCCCAGCCCTGCCCCACCCCACCCCCCGCCTGCCCTGGCTTTCACTGCTTCCCTGCATGTCTGCCAGTGGCATACCATGGATCTCTGCTGCCCGGGGACCAATGCCTGCATTTGCGTCCCACCCCTGGGGACAATCCTAGCAGGGCGCGGCACCCCTTCTCCTGCCCCACAGCACTTTGGTGGGGAAATTGACACTGCGGCACACCAGACACCAGGGGAGTGGCAGTGACTGGAATTTCTGGCTGTAACAGGTAGACAAATGACCAACCCTCTGGCTGTGTGGGTGGGCCACACATCAAACATGGGAGGTGCGATGGCCTATTGGCTCAGCTGGCACCCCCCTAGTCATTGCCCAGGGGCCATGGCCCCGCCCACCCCCCCCATGTTGGTACACTGCTGATGCCTGCTCCAGCACCACGTGGCCCTGGGATGCATTGCTGAACCATGGGAGCACGGGGCTGCACTGGTACCCTGCGGCCAGGAGTGGGAGGCCGTGTGTGTGTGTGTTGAGGGAGGGAGAGAGAGAATGTGTGTGTTCATAGACAAGTCTCAAAAGCACACCCTGCCATATACGCAGACCCCCACGTCCCCACCCACTCACACCCCGGTCATCCTCCCCCACACACAGCCCCCACAAATGCCATACCCACCCACACCCCACATATCCACACACACACCCACATGCTCCCTCACCCCACACCCTCCTCAACATCCCACATGCCCACAGCCCCCCACAAATCTATACCTAGGCCTGTCCCTGGGGGGGGGGGCGAATTGGGGCAACCACCCTGGGCCCCACACTTTGAGGGACCCCGCAGAGCTGGGTGGAGTGACCTCAGCCCCTCCTGCAGGGCACCATGGGCTTTGCATCCGGCCACTCGCCACTCACCACCCCCTTGCACCCCCTACCCCCCACCGCTGACTTCTTCACATCTGGGCCCCACACAGCCTGATTTGCCCCCAGGACCCATACCCTGCTAAGATCATCTCTGCCTATACCCACCCCCATGCCCTCCACATCCCCACAATATACAAGAGTAAGACTTCATTTTAGCTATTGTGCAATCAGCTCTGTGTACACCACACAAACACATATAAATCAGGACAAAAATATTTTTTGAAATCAAATTAATGAATGTTGTAGATGTTTGATTTTTAGAATATAATTTGGTATTTTTCTGGTTCTGAGATGGTAAAACCACTTGCTGAAAGGAGTACTCCTGGGGGCAAGGGGAAGGACTTCTGGTGGCAAAGGTCAGGGGTTAGGGGTCGGGACTTCCAGTCCCAAGATGGTGACCAGGGGGTGGGGCACCTGTCAGGAAGTGGGGCTACCCATGTGGCCCTCAACAGCTTGCCAAAACTCAGTAAGTGGTCCTCCACCCAAAATAATTGCCTGTCCCTGGTCTAGACAAACCCTGAGATGTGACAATGGGAGACATGACCACTTGTTGCAGTTAGTCTCCAGGAATAGTAAGGCTTCTTCCAGAAACATTTGGTTTTTGAATAAGGATCTGGCTTCCAAATAGATTCCTCTAGCAATTCATAGCATTATAGAATAGTGGGGTTGAAAAGGACCACAGAAGGTCATCTGGTAGTCCATCTCCCACTCAAATCAGGATTTCCCTGAACAGCTAGGCTGAATTTTTGATCTGACAAAATGTCCTTATTTTTATGGTCATTCATCTTTGATCTGGTTCTTCTCGGGTCCTCCTCAGTTTGGTCATGTACAACATCCCATTGCCTAATAAAACCTATAATACGTACTCCAGATGGCAAGGAACACAGGCACTGAGGAGATCTGCAAGTGGCAAAGATTTGAAACTTGGTGACAACAGCAAATTTCATCCCCCACTTGCATTTTGCTGTTCAAAGGAAGCAGTCTCACCTGCTCTCAAGTGTTTGCTTCCATTGGGCCAAATCTATTATCAGTGTCTACCTGGAAGAATAAATTATGGAGTCACATGTAGGAGGCTGGCAGGAGCAGGAAGCTGCCCCAATCTGAGGAATAAGGATGCATTACAGCAGCCTCTCATTTATAATGCATTGAAGCCAGAGAGCACATATCACTGCTGCTACTGCTGCAACAGTACGCCAGAGTGCTACTGTTCTTTTGCACTTGCACCCTGTAACAATTTTCATCTAAGGATCAGAAAGCACTATGCAAAGGTGAACCAGTTAAACTTCTCAACATACTTCTAGAGAGGCTGAATCATCCTTCATAATTCAAAGGTGTAAACTGAGGCACAAAGAGCAATCATGCAGGAGTCAAAAGCTGTAAATAAAGAAACATAAAGTAAGGATATTCTTTCATTTGACTTTTATTTAGCAGTCCAGATAAAACTCCAGCTGAAGTAAACAGGAAAACTAGTCCTTAACTTCCCAAATTATCTCTCTTTCAATCTCTTCCTTTATATATATGAATCTTACATTTTCCTAAATATGTTAGTAAATAGTAGGGCTGTGCAAAGCTTCAGTCGCTGATTCAATTCAGCGGAGATTTGGCCCGACTCGGTGGCCGAATCTCTGAATCTGAATCGAATCAGGAGATCCATTCTGGTCCACTTCTGGGTCTGCTGGGGGACTCACTGGGCCCCCCCCACCCCACTGGCTCGGCATCTGGTGCCTCCTGGGTATAGTACTTCCAGTCCACCTCCAGGTCCGCTGCTGAATGTGCGGGGGCCCCCCGCCATGCTCCTGTGGGATGCTCCATCTACCCCAACATCTCAGCATTCACGAGCCACACCTGGTAATTCGAGGTATGTAGAAGAAACATATAAAGCTGTGTCTATGGCTGAATCACTGATTCTCCGAATCGGAATCGAATCTTCAGATTTGGATTGAGGCGAATCGAATCGGGACATGTGATCCAAATCAGGTAATTGAATCACTGCCCCCTGAATCGGGCTGAATCCAAATCAAATATGGCCCGCTTTGCACACCCCTAGTAAATAGGTATGCTGGCAAAAGGGGGCACTGTAAAAAGTTAATGAGCTTTGCTTCCCATGGGCCCAGTCCTGCAGCATGTGTTTTTTGGAGGCCACAGGTCCTAATATTGTGGGAGATTAACTTTACCAATTGAAAGGTCTGTTGGCTCCCACAAAGACTAAAATGCCTTGTTTTCCATTCCCACCCCTTCCTTTTAAGAATTGACAAGAAGATATTCATATACTGAGTTAAATTTAAATTACTTTAGCCTGACAGAGCCAACACAACAGCATTTGGAAGACATGGTCAGTTTGAATTCAAGCAAATGGTTTTAAATGGTTTCAGATCTTCACCTGCCCTTAAGCATCCCTCTCAATTTTGTGGTTTTACATTTTTCATGGTTTTTAAATGTTTTTCTTAATCCTCTTGCTTTGTGAAAGACTCAAACAAAACAGCAAATGAAACTGTTTATGCGACATAGCAATTGACCATAAACAAAGTGCTGTCAGCTGTACTAAGTAAACTATTCTTTTTTTTTTTAAGAAGAAAAAATTTCTACAAACCACTTTTGAAAATCCCTCACAGTTATACAAGTACTGCAATATACTGAACCACTTATTTTGGGCCTGTTAACCCCTCCCTGGTCATCTCTGGCTTTTTGGATGACTGACCCTGGAAAACCTTTGGTAGCTGTGTACACAGGCCATAGCAAAAGCTGTTCAGCTTTTCTGCAGCAAGAGGCTGCTGCAGATCTGGAGATTCTACCTCACTTCTTCATTTTTTCCATAAAAAAATAGTTGTAAAAAGTCCGAAAAGTTTCCATGCCCTTAAAATTGGATTTGTACAGAATGGTGTTTCCATACTGAACAAAACATTTTTTTGTAATTTTTGAGGTGTGGGACTATTAACAAAAATTATCATGCAGCTTCATCCTCTATGCCAAAGATGACTCTGAATTAATACTTAGATATTGAGAGTGATCCACATGCCCCCTATCTGCACAGAGACAAAGTTCATTCAAAGGGTTATTGTCATTGAATTTTATCTCTTAGTGTCTTCTGAAAAATAATTTAATGCTTTGCCTATTAACTGATGATAAATGTAGAGTTAATTGCTGTTTCTGACTTACTATGGGAATGTAATGCTCCCCTATTATTGAAAGGCCTGGAAGCTGTGCACATGCCACAGCCAGGGGCAGTGCTGTACACAGGGGGAAGAACAGCAGTGGTAAGGGTGTAGCTGGAAATTGCCTGGCCCTGGCTCTGCTCTTTGCTTCTTAGTGCTGGCAAGTGGGCATAGGCAAACTTCTCAGGCTGTACAGCTCAGATCTAGTGGCTCCATGGGCCATATATTGCCAACCCCTGCCCTAGGTAACTGATAGTTTTTCTACAATAACAGTCAAAGATCCACTGGTCTGTGAATTTCATATATGTCTAACATCTTAACCTTAAATAATTAGGTTAATCTATACTTTTGCTTCATGATTAAGCAAGAAAGAAAACTAACTCAGACTTCTTAGACTTCTGAAAAAATATTTTTGAGGTCACGATATAAACTGTTTACCATTCACTTAAAATTAGAGCCAGCCAAGTTACAGGGTGGCCAAAGCCAGTGACTGAAGGCAATTAATTTGACCTTTATATGTTTTTAAGAAATCGGGTAACATGGCAAATACATATTTAATTGTATTGTAATCAGTTATTTTTTTATTTCAGGGTCCTTGCAAGTGATGAACAAAACTAGAAGGATCATGGAAAATGGAGGGGCCACTTTCATCAATGCCTTTGTAACCACCCCAATGTGCTGCCCATCTCGATCCTCCATGCTAACAGGGAAATATGTTCACAATCACAACATATATACCAACAATGAAAACTGCTCTTCTCCTTCATGGCAGGCAACACATGAACCACGTACCTTTGCAGTGTATCTCAACAACACTGGGTATAGGACAGGTAAGAAACAAATCCAGTGTACAGTAAATTTTTATTAAAAAACAAAAAGGTGGATATTAAGGGTGTATTCAGTAATAGGTTTTAAATTTCTGCCTAAAATGATGCAAATGTGGTCTTGGATTAGGTTTAAAGAGCAAAGCATTGTGTCAATATTATGGCAGGGAAAATGTGTGTCAGGTTGGAGTGTGGCACTGCTTACTTGTGATGGCTTGCCTAGCCTTACCACCAACATACTAAATAAGGAAACTTACTTATAGTGACCAGCATATTTTCATGTCTGGATGTCTCAGGTAGGGAATAGTCTGTGGAACAGTTGCACCTGAGGAGTGAGAAGTACGTTTTCATGGCATTGTGGTGTTCAGCTGACAGCCCTGGCTGTGACTGTGGTTAGTATTATGGCTTGCTTGTGGAGAAGTCACTAACATTTATAGAAAAAGATGTTAGGGAAATGGTGCCAAAGACCTCAGAGGAATGAAGTACCTCCAGAGGGAATGAAACAAGGTGAAGACTATGATATGCCTTTAATTTGGGGTGATAGTCATTTGCATTTTCTGAAACTGAACTATGTATTTAAGCAAGATTGTTCTGCTGAACAGCATCATAAATTGATAGTTTTCTTGTAAATTCCTGGTGGTTTTCTGTGGTCAGGAGATCCCTTCTCTATTTACAAAGAACTCTTCTCATTCCCTTCGGCTGAGCTTCAGCTTGACGTGAAGCCTCCAGTTCATATGTTTCACTTATCCCCTTAAGAATAAACCTGTACACACTTTAGGCTCCAGTCTGACTCTTTTGCAAAGGTATAAAGGCTGTACACGGTCATCAAGGTGCAGATTATCCAGTAGTATCGTTTGACTGCAAAGACTCTTCTTTACAGAACCAATGAGGCGTAAGTCCTAGTGCCAGCTGGGTTCTTTACAAAGTTTGGTGGCAAACAAGTTTGTCTCCATCAGTGTGCAAGGCATGGGAACAGACTGCTTTGAAAATGTATAATGGATGAATGTCCCCATGCTGTCTGCTTGGACCAATGATTTTAATTTAGCTGTATCCTAAAACTATCTGCCTCTGCACAACAGTCACTCACAAGCCTTCAGAGTGACTGAATCATGTTTAAACCACAAAACAAAACAATCACTTATTTTCTTGGGGTCAATCTTGGCCCTGTCAGTCATCCCGAATATTACTTTACCCCCGAGTATATTGATGAATTCAATGGGATTATTGGTGGAGTAAAGTACTATTTATGAGTAAGGATGGTAGGATCAGGCTCTTTGGTCTTTACTCTGTAATGCTGATTTCAGTTTCCAGTGTAATTAGAAATATTTCCAGGTTGTTGGATTGGTGCTCCCAATCTGGTTTGTACTCCAAGCCTTTCTCACATCCACCTAGAAGTTGTCAAGTGTGTTAGAGCATTTACTCTCTTCCTAACATAGGGTTTTGTAAAGCCAACACCTACCTATATGAATCTGAACCTCCTATGTGAATTTTATTGTAGTAGTGGATTTTCTCTGGGCCTTCTCCCTCTCTAGATGACATTTATATCAGCTGAGCCATGGGATGTGTCAAAGAATAATAGTGCAAAAGAAAATTGATAGGAAAGTCCCACAGAGAACAAGCACCACATGGCCATTAGTTTTAGGAAATTGTCAGGAAAATGGGGTTTTAGGAGGGAACTGTCTCAGAGAAGTTAAGAACATGAAATAAGTGAAATACTTCCAGAAGCATACACTGTTTGCCTCTACAAATATCTGCATTGGGATGGACCATCAGCATCAGAGCTTACTCAGTCCGTTGTCTTTTCAGATAAGGGCTCCTTTCCAATTATCCTTCAGTTAAACTTACAGTTGACAGCTTAATTAAAATCAGGCTTTAAAGTATCTTCACCATTGTGCAAGGACAATGTTACTTTATTACAAAATTATGAGAAGCCCTGCATGTTAAATTTTAGCAGTATATGCACCCATGTAATGCTGGAAAAGCAAGCATGCAAACGTTCTCACTTTTCATAGTACCACAAAGATGGTGCACCCGCTACAACAAACATGCTACTTCTTCAAAGAACTTCCCTGTAGCACTGTGTTCTGTAGTGCTATGTGCACCATCTGTCCACTTGCATGTAGCACTACAGAGGGTCTCTCAGACCCACTGCATCCACAGTACTCCACACCTCCTCTCCACCCCCAAGGAGGAGGTGGCTGACTCCCTGACAGCCTGCCTAACAACAGTGAGCCGTTGCAGAGCCATGCCGGGACCCTACTGCTACCACTACAGGTCTCCTGATTCCCAAGTCCAGTGCACTAGGCATGAGGGAACAGGGTTACACATAATGCAAAATAAATTAAGCCCGGTTCTCTATTCTGAATTAACTGTACCTAGCTCTCACTTTGCCTAGGATAGCACAGGTTCAAGTTAGTAGGAAATCTATACTCTCCTGCTTATATACTGCCTTTAATTCCCAGGTCCTCAAATATTCCCAGGTCCTCAAATATTCATAAATCATCAATATTCATAAATCATCATCTTTCTTTAATCTACTCTAATCTTAATTCTGTGCCCAATTCTTCAAATGATAGCCTGAGGGGCAGACTGCTATCGTGGAATGGAGCCCCATTGAAATCACTGGGACCCTGTACAAGTATGTCGTCCATTTTTATACTGTTATTTGGAGGGCTGGGGTCTGAAATGTGCAGCTATGAATTGCAGTCATAGTTTGAGTTTATTGGGAGGGAAAATGTCATACTACAAAATGAAATTTGCCTTTTTTTTTAATCTGCTCGATTTATCTACTAATATAGGAGAGGATGCTACATTGCACAGGAACCTCAGACAGTGCATATAATACACCACTGTTCAGTAATAGCCAGAAACTGTGCTTTGCAGAATTGGGGAAATTCGTGTTCAGAATCATTCTGACTTTTAATTAAATAAAAAAATTAAAAGATGTCATATTATCCAATAGCACTTTTTAAATGAGCTGAAAACTAATGCAGCCATGAACCAGGAGCAATACAGATTCCTGATTTTAAAAAACATAGGAACCTGTGGATATTAAAACAAAAATTGTTAACGGTGGGAAATGGCAGGGGACAGTGCATGAGGTAAGTGGGGAAATGAAACTAACTATAGAGAAATGAAGAGGACTAACACATTTGTTTTTACTTTATCAAATCCATCTGTTCAGATGAGGTGAATAGTATATTCTGAAAAACCAAACCTTTAGAGAAAATCAGGAGAAAAAACTTTAAAATCTTTTAGCTGCGTGGTTTCTGATGTCAAAAGAATTTCTTCAGGGCATTTAGATCCTTGTATTTGATATATAGGATCACTTGGTTTTGTTTAATGCTTTCCCATTGGTCTGTTGCTTTCCTGTTTTTTCATCAACTGTAGTATTGCCGTTGTTTTTACACAACTGTATTTCACCATTTTCCATGTCCCAGTCTCCAAGCATGGAGGCTAAAGCCTCTCTTTTCTCTGATATCTGCTCTCTAGTTCTCTAAATATATTCTTAACTTGTCTTGAGCTCCCAAAAACTCTATCCTGATTTTCACCACAAGAAATATATATGAAATATAAGTCTCTATATACCCTGATATAACTTAATACTATGGATGCACATTAAATTTTAGCACTATATTTACCCTTGTAATAATAGAAAACCTCTACAGAGGGTCTCTCAGACCCCCAACATCCCACAATACTCTTTGCTTCCTCTCCACCCTTCTAGGGGAAAGAAAAGCAGTATAGCTCTGCCTTTCAGAAGGTAGAGAATGGCACTTGCAAAAGGTACTGTTTATTGGTAGCAAATATAACTAGGCAGTAGATAAAGAGTTTGAGAGAACCATAATATGAGCATAGCAGATATTTAGCAAATGTCACTGCTGCTTTTAATAGTATTTTATTTCTATTCTATAGGATTTTACATTTTCAACAGTTAAAGTTTCATTAAAGTGCAGTTTAGTTTGAAAAGGATTTGTAAAATTGGTACCCTTTACTCATCGGATTTGATTTTTATATATTCTCTGAGTCATACCTGTTTAATATTGCTGTATATCAGTGTCAACTCCTTGTAGCCCTGCACAGTCAACACAGCTATGAGAAAGGGAGCTGGAATCTGTCTGGTTCGAGCACCAACAACAGAACCGATAAGTTTTATGTTCCAGTAAGTTTTACATTCCAGTTCTAGGGATGGATATTGCCCTTACTTTTGTATTTGAATAACATCACCAAAACAATCACTTAGACTTTTTTTTATATGGTTGACTTTGGGAAGACTTGATGCCCAATTTTGTATTCAATGCTCACAAGTATAAGCTGATCAAAATATTTTAGATTCATGCATGCCAGTGTTCCTGGCAAAACTAATTGCAATTCTTATCTGTTCATAGAACAGAAATAATACCATAAGAATGAAAGTGCCATACTGGGACAGATCAATGGTCCATCTAGCTCAGTGGTCTCCAACCTTTTTATGGTGAAGATCACTTTTTGTAAGTAAAGAGCACCCTGCCCCACCCCACCCTGCCCCTCCGCCTCCTGGACAAGCTGCCCAGGCTCTGATGCCATTCACCCATCCCAGCTTGGGTGGCAGGGGGTGTGGCTCAGCCCAGCCTAGCCACATGCATCCTGCTGCTCCTGATCGTGGAGCCTCTGACAGACTGAGATCGACTGTCAGAAGCTCCATGATCGACCAGTCGATTGAGATCGACTGGTTGGTGATCACTGATCTAACTTAGCATTGTGTCTTTGATAGTACCTTTAACAATGGAGCAGGGCTGTAGTTTTCTGATGGGCCTACACCAGGGGTGGGCAAAATACAGCACAAGGCCATTTTATCTGGCCTGCAAGGCCCCTAAACATTTTTGAAAATTAATATTTATCTGTCTTTGGTTCCTGTCAAAAATGACAGAAAGCAGGGGCAGTAAGACCCAAGGGAAAGCCAGTGGGCTCCTGCAACAGCAGAGCCTGCCTGCCCCAGCAGGGGTTTCTGGCCTGGGACCATGTGG